CTCATAAAGTCATGTTATTACTTGAGAATCTCAGCTTTATTAACAAAATAAAAAGAAAGGTAAGTTTCTAAACCTCATGTCGCAGAGAAAAGTTTGAAAATATGGGACCCTAAAGCCTCAAACATCAGAAAGCAAATTAAAACAACTCAAAATTTGTATTTGACAAAAAAAATCTCAAATATTTAAGACAATTTCATGATGTCAAGGGAGCTGATTCATGCTTTTTGAATGCTTGAGGTTGGCAATACTTCAACCTCCAGGTTGAGAGTCCATAGTATACTTCACTAATTAGTCCATCCATGTGATATGTTTATTTTGCTCTATATTTGTTCTTTTAAAAAAATCTTACTGTACCCTACAAAGGCACAGCTGGAGTTAAGAGTCTGATGGTCAAAAAAACCTAGGAATGTCTTGCTATGATCAAACCTATGATTGTTTTTCAGAGAAAAGGCAATAAAGATTTTTTTTTGGAGGGGGGTTGAGGAGAGGGCTAAGAAAAATATAGGGGGGTGTAGTGAAGGGAAAGGAGACATTCATGTTGGGTTTTTCTTCTTCGTACAGATTGTTAATTTTGAGTGAGCTCACCCAATTCCCTTCCAGCTGAAATTAAAAAAAAAATCCCAATCGAAAAATAAATCTGCCCTTTTTTACCTGAATAGAAGTCGGTATCAGGCATGGAAATATCTGACTTGTAGGAAGGGTTGTGATTTTGCTTTAAGCTAAAGCTTTCTTTTAAGAAGGTCACTGCAAATGAAAAGTGTTCCTCATCCACTCTGCTTTTGGTAACACGGTTTTTCCCCAATCTATTTAAGGTGAAGTTGCACTCGAGGCATTTGCAAACATATTGGCATTTGCAATGCAAGGAAATCTCACCGCTTAATTTCTTAGGCCATGTCTACACTAGCAAACATACAACGACACAGCTGTACTGATGCAGCTGTGCTGCTGTAAGATCACTTGTGTAGCCGCTCTATGCCAACAAAAGAGAGCTCTCCTGTCGACATACTAAAACCACCTAAACAAGCAGCAGTAGCTATGTCGGCGAGAGAAGCTCTCCCGCCAACATAGCACTGTGCACATGAGCGCTTATGCCAGCAAAACTTATGTTGCTCATGGGGGTGTTTTTTCACACTCCTGAGCAACATAAGTTTGCCAACATAAGTGGCAGTGTAGACATGGCCCTACTGAATAATTGTTCTGTGGGTTTTTTTTTCTGTATTCTTTTTCTTGCCACACACCCTGTCTCCACCACCCCCTCTTTTGTTTCTGTGAAGTGTAGCTCTTCTTTCCCAAACTGAGAGAAGCAGAAGTATTAAAATCTTAACAAAATAGCTGTTATTGTTTTGGGCATTACATATGATAAAATAAAACACCAATGGGTGTTCACTTTACAAGGAGAATTATGGACTACAACCCACAGAAAACTCATCTAGTTGACGGCATGATTCCCTTCAGCATAGAGTACTGCCCCTGATAAACTGCTAGTGTTTGTTAAGAAAAGGCTGACTGTATAGAGTTCTGCAGTAGGGTGCCACCCACTTGAACTTTGGATAATGAGTTAAAAGAAGTTGTTGATGGGAGAAAATTGGGGTGTGGCTAAAAAAAGTGATGCAAGATGCAAAGGAGTCCCTCAGGCCGAGATTGATGAAAGAAAACTCCCAGAACATTGTAATAAGCTGATTTTGTGGGAAAGAGTGGGATAGTTATAATAAAAGTAATGTTTGTAACTAGAGGCACTCCTGCAGTGTTCTAGAAGTGTGCAGTTCAAAACCTTGTGAAATCATAGTCAGAGGTTAAATCTTACAGCAAGAGTATAGAAGATTACTGTGACTGATACCAATTCCTGGTAGGCGAATGGAGACCAAGTCTAACCATTCACTAATTTAGAATGCCCATGTTGGGTGGGATCCACAAAGGTACTTAGGTGTTGCACCACTGAACCTCACAGAGCCTAACTTTCAGGCACCTAGAACATCATAGGAACAACACAGAGATCCACAATACCAAATTAGGTGCCAAGGCTCCCTATACAATGAACAGGGATAGGGGAGAAATAGGTGCTTAAGAATGCAACCCACAAAAAGCCAGTGTGCTGGGCACAGAGTCACCTAAGCTAGCCAAAAAGTCTCGGAGATGCTAACCAGAGGGGGTGTGCTAAGCTTCACCCCTCTCTCTGAGATAGGTGCCTAAAGGCAGGTCTACACTTAAGTCAATCAAACGTATGTCGCTCGGGGTATGAAAAAGACACCCCCTTGAGCGACTCAGGTTACAGAGACCCAAGCACTGTCCACACCGGCCCTATGTCAGCATGAGACACTCTCCTGCCAACATAGATCCCACCTCTTACGGAGGTGGAGTAATTATGCAGATGGGAGAGCGCTTTCCAGTCGGCATAGAGCAACTTCACCAGACGCGCTACAGCGGTCTAAAGCACCTTCTAGTGTAGACCTGCCCTGAACTTAGTGATCCACCAGTGAATGGAAACCAGCCACTTGGAGTCAGACGGGCTTAGGCACCTACAGTTTTCTTGCAGGAATGAGTTAGGAGCCCGCCATGCTCCACACAAAACAGCAAGATGAGGAGGTGATACACTGGCACCCATCTTATACCTTTCAGCCCAGTGGTTAGAGTACTCACCTGGCATATGGGAGATCCAGATTCAATTCCCCTCTCTCTGCCAGAGGGGGAGAAAGGATTTGACGAGGGGTCTCTCCCACCTCTCGGGAGGGTTCTTTAATCACTGGGCTATGTGATAATTCTAATATGGGGTTCCCTTGATCTTCCTGTTAAAGCTGTTCCATTGTGGATCAATAATGGAAGAGGGATTGGAGCAGAGGAACTGGACCCAAGGTGTCCCATCTACCAGCCCTAGCCTAGAGACTACAGTCATTCTCCCTCACTCTCTTTGTCTCTTGCCC